TCTCTCCTATTTCCCAAGACTGGGAACAATTATTAACATCAGACCAGTCTTTGCCAGCTCACACAGAGCATTCCCAGTACCGGCACTGGTCACATTCTTTATCTCTGCAATGCAAAGAGAAAACACACATTCCAAATGAATGCTGTGTGCTCCCCTTGCAGTACTAGAAGAAGAATGGATTTGCTAATCCTCTGGCCTTCCTCACTTCTTACAGGCTGGAGAGTGAAAGGGATGTCTTTGGGGCTGCAATAGGAAACCGAACTTGGAATCTCCTCAGACAGCTGGCATTGCTCATTATTATCCCTCTGAAAGGCTGCCAGGAGAGGTTTAGCAGCCTCCACCCTTGGAGGTTTTCCAGATCCAAATAGACAGAGCCATGAGTAGAGCAGTCTGATCTCAGAGGAAACCTTGCTTAAGCTGGGCTTGGACTAGAGACCCCCTGGGCCCTCTTCCAGCCTCAGCCATCTTCTGATTCTATGAAAGAAGCTATGTTTTGATAGTATACAGAGGAGACTTTAGAGAAACCTGTGTGCTATGTTCATAAGCTTTCAAGGGGAAACACAAGCTTCAGTCTGCACTGCCACACACCAGAGTAACATAATGAAATAAACTGATCTGCTGCATCCACTTGTCACCCAGGTACTACCTGGACTTCATCTCGAGTTATGTGACAAACTGACTGTGTTAAAGAAAAGCAGTTTTTCAGTGTTTTACAGCTAAATGCTCAAGAGTTTGGAAGGGCAGCTCAGGGTGCATAATTACAGAGGGCATGTGGTGCTCCAGGTCTAGGAGCCAAACAAGTGCTTGGACTGGATTTGATTCCCTGCTCCCACTACTGCCTCTGTCCACCCATGGCTGCTGTGTCAGTCTGGTCTTTGGCAGCCTCCCCTAGTAACTTGTGGGCTTCAGGAGGTGCCTAACCAAGGACAAATGTGAAAGACACACATACAACAGCACAACAAAAACAACACCGCCACAGCGCGAGACCTTGTCTCACCCTGGAGACCCTCACTAGTGGCCCAAAAAACAAAAAAAACAACCTGAAAAGAATAAAGGGGAAGGAGTTTGGAGATTTGAACAATCTTGTCCTTAAATGTGGTGACACAGCCATAAGACAAGGTGCATACTTCAGGAAAAAGTACATTATAGTTTGGGCTTCCCCATTAGGATTTCATGGAAAGAAAAATATGTAGCAGGATTTTAACACTTTATAGCATCTCTTTCCCTCCTTAGAGAGCATGTACTGACTGTGAATTTTTCTGCAGTGATTTGCTAGGCAAAATACATTAAAATTTTGAAGAACTCTGCTTTCTCCATCTCAAAAAATACATGTATTTGGGGCTCTGCCCTTCAGATTTCAGAATTTACTGCAATATAGGTTTAAAGGCAAGTTAAAAATAATACTGCTTTTCCAGCAGCAAGACTTTAAGAATCAGATGTCACCCTACCTGACCTCAATTAAATCTGGCTGAATCAGCTGGATGGGATCAAACAGGGTGTGAAAATCTGTATTCTAGCAGTGGGCAGAGAAAAGAAGGCTAGTTGGACATTTCAGTGTGAAGCTGGTTCAGTATGAAGAGGAGAATTTCAAGTGTGAATGCGTGTATGTGTTCGTGCATGTGCTGGGGAAAGCTGGGTTGGCAAGGGAGACAGAGGAGAGCTTTGTGTTCAGTGCTTCCTCTGACACAGCTCAGCCTGTTCCCTATCTCCCAGTTTCACTTCTGAATGTGCAGGAACATGCGGTGGCTCCTTGTTCCCACCATCTTCATCATCCCTTATACTCAACAGGTAAGTTCATTAAAAAAAAGATTTTCCCCTTCTTCACCTTGTCCTGGTTAAAAGTTTTTATTTGCTTTATGATGAATTAAATTTCAGAGAAGTAAATTCCTCATAAATAATAAGGAGCCATTCCCTACTCCTGAGTAAATTTAATTTGCAGTTTATTTACTGCATCAATCATATTTTGGTATTTTTTTTTTCTCTGTACATTAATATGACTTGGTGGGAAGAAAAAAGTTTTAGGGAAGCTTAAATTGTCACTGACCTTGCTTCTTTATTTCTTTAATTTTTTTTAATATAAGCAAAAATTATTATCTGATGCAGTAAGAAAGTCAACATCCATACTTATATTCCATATATACATGTATATATGTATTTGCAAATATACAAATACACATGCAGAAGTCTAGCTTCAGGCTAGTTTTACAAATGACAAAGGCACCTGGGCTGTGTTATACTTTGTCTCTTATGAGACAATTTTAAGTGATAGCTTTTTCTAAAGGTATTTGTGTCAAAGGCCAGTTTCATTACTTATTTACCTAATTTTGAAAATACACTTTATGTGTATACAGTGTATTTTTCCTTTACAATTAAGATGAATGTCAACAGAATTTTCAAATGGCTGTCTCCCTCCCCTTTCTGCTTATTTCAAGCCAGACTAAGATAACCAAACATTAGTGATAATACATTACTTATTTTGCTATTTGCTTATTTATGCCATACTGACCTTGTTCAGTCTTTAAAGCATAGGAAAACAAAGAGCACATGCAGGATTCTTACAAAATGGTCTCATTTTCTGATCTGCCCATAGGATCAGAAAAAGTATGCAAGGGGCTTGTGTGATATGAATAGCTTTGGTATAGAAACTTGAGGAAGCACAAATTAGAAAAATATTTGACCTGTAAACTATACAAGCAAACTTTAGATTTTCATTGTGACTTAACAGATATATAAAAATTTTTCATGTAAGCCGATGTTCTCAGTAATTCAACAGTTAAAAGTGTCAGATATTCTCATGATGGTGTTTTTCTTACTTTACAAGAACTTTTTACTCTCCCACCTTTCAGCTGACATCTTTCCCTTAAAAAGAGAGAGAAAACTCCCTATGCAGAAGTTTGTAGCTTAAAGTATATTTCAATTTGTAATACAAATTAAACACATTGGTTGAAGCACATAAGATTACTTCTTGCTACACATACCCATTTTGAAACATGATATCTGATTCAAGCCACATAACCTTATATTGCTGGCATATGGCAAAATTCATAATGATGCTGCTGCTGCTGATAATACTAATATTCTGCTTCTAAAGAAAGAAGCAGCAAGGATCTGTTTCCTAAAGCAACTGCATTGTCTTAAACACTGCTAAATGTATAGGAACACCTGCTTGTCTTGTTTCCAGAACAAAATCCTCTAAGAACCCTTATATTCCAATGCACACATTCATCAAATTAACATTATGGTTTATAGAAAAGGCTTAGCTGCCTTAAAAGGTATATTTGAGTTAATTATTTCTGTATAATTGTTGAATTTAGGAAAAAAGAATAAAAAAAAGCCTTTAACAAATGACATATTTATGAAATGATCTTCTTCATGGAATACCCCATCACATTGTTTAACATCCACTTACTATATGAATTGCTTATGTAAATTAGTATCTAGCTTAAAAATCATTCAGCCAAAGGAACTTGAAAGCTACTACTTTGGAGCTTCATTAGTAGCTGCAGATTAAGATATCACAAGTATAGTTGTAAATGACCATGAAATATGGAAATTAGTAGTAGAAGAAAGGCTTTTAAAAGGTCATTTACTACTGCATTCAATTAAGCCAGCTCAATTATTCTGCAAGAGCTTTCCTGGGCTATGACAGATGAAATGCTAAATTCTGTAGATACTTCCAGTTTGAAAAATAAGCAGCAACGAACCCAGCTAAATGACCCCTTTCCCTCAGCATCTCTTCTGGAGGTGATTTCTACACCAGTAGATCCTTACAGTTTGGAGGAACAGATAGAAACTGATAGGCTGGACTTCACATGCCCAGAAAAAAAAAGACAGGATATGTGTTTTGGTTTTTTTTTTTCTGCAAGCTTGAGGGTGATACTAGCACCTGATGAGGGGCTGGGTCTTCTTTCCCTCTTGCTCTTTGGGCAGTCAGAGCTGTGTGATGAGAGTGGCTTCCAGGCCACGTGTTATATAGTGGCCAAGTGCTGCGCATGCCCCCACTTGGCTACAGAACCAGTCATCCATGGAGAATAACTATACCATGATCTGCATTTCTGCTGCTAAGTTTTAGTTGTAGTTCTTAAAAAATGCAGATAGACTATAGCTATCTCAGATCCTTTCACACTGTGCTGACTTAATCTGCCCCCACGCCTCAGAAAAATAAGCCCATCAAGAATTAGTTCATCATCCCTTCTCTTGAAAAAAAAGAAAAGAAAAGAAGTAAAAAAAAAAGAAAAAAAAAAGAAAAATACATGAATTCTGAGACAGAATGTGTAAACCAGTAAATTCTGGCTAGATCTTGACTTCCTGCTGCTGATACAATCTTTTTAATGAGATGTGTCTTTGCTCCAAAAGCCCTAGATTCAATGAAGGCTTAGTCATGCAAATAAATGCACTCTTAAAAAGTGACCTATTAAACTCAGTACAGCTACTAGCCTCCCTTACTAGGATTAATTTTTTGCATCTAGCACAAGAGCATTTGTAAATATTATAATGCTCCTTTCCAAGCATTTACTCAAATTTTGAAGCAAAAGTAACATTCAAAAGAGGTTCCCTATTTTAAAAGGGTCTTGTCATCAGAACTGGACACAGACTGTGGCTGGTTATAAAACAACGTGAGGAATCAAAAGCTAATTAGTTTAATAGAGAATCATTAATCAATTTGATATAAGGTTTCTAGGAAGAAATACTTACAATAAAACCACCATCTACTTTAAAATACTTTTTTTTAAACTTCTGTTCAGTTTTGTTCTATAGAAGGCAAAAGAAAGACCAGTGAATTGTGTTTTGTACAAGCAGTGGTGGAACACCTCAGTGGATGACAGTGATGAAAATGATCCTCTGCCTTCTACCTAGTTCTCATAGCCTCTCTCACTTTTTGATCTTGAAATGAGAAATGTTGTGTATTTTCATGCAACTTGTCAGTTTTTTTCCATCTTGACTTATTTTTATGCTATACCAGCTACCCATAATGCATTCAGTGCTCAAAATATCCCACCATGTGTAAGTTTTCCCACAGCCCACCAGAGCAGCCTGGAGATAAACCTGCGGAAACTAGTGAAGTCCAGCGCAAGGAGGTTTGCCGCTGGCCGTGCCGATGCCCACCCGTGCCAGCCTGCACCCCTGGGGTCAGCCTGGTGAAGGATGGCTGTGGCTGCTGCAAGGTCTGTGCCAAGCAGGCAGGAGAGCCCTGCAATGAAGCAGATGTCTGTGATCCCCACAAAGGGCTCTACTGCGACTACTCGGAAGATGAGCCTAGGTATGAAACAGGCGTGTGTGCATGTAAGTTGTTCTTTCACGTTCCCTTCTTGAAATACAAGAGGGTGGGGACCACCAGGCAAATGCTTTTGGAGGAAAGCTCTGCTTGCATGTGCTGCACAGCTCTGTGCTAAAGAATTTATCCTAATTTAGTCCTCCAACTGCTCAGTCAGAGAATCTGAGAGTAGGGTGGGGACTGTATTTAAACTTACCTGCATTAGTGAAATCAGTTAGTTGTGCACAAGCCTGTTATTGACAGACATATTGATGCCTGATTTGCAAAGCTGTGGATGTCATAAGGACTGAGCACATTTTAGCACTGTTTAGCAAGAGCCATGTGCTCCTCCTGTGTTAGTAACTGTTGTTCACCATTTTCAGATCTGGTAGCTGTAGGATGTGAGCTCAATGGAGTTTATTATGCCAACGGGCAGACCTTTCAGCCCAACCAGCTTTACAAGTGCCTGTGTTTCAGTGGTACAATTGGATGTACCCCTGTATTCACATCAAGATTAGCAGGAAGCCCCTGTGCCAGGGTCCCAGGCAGAAAGAAGGCAGGACAATCCATCTGTGGCCTAGGACAGCACAAGCAACTTCAGTCAACCAACTACAGACTGATGTCAGGTGAGCCTGACTACACTGGTAAACTTCTCTGCATCTGAGCCTTTCTGCATTTAGTACCCCTGGCTCCTGCAGCCAGACAGGCAGCACACTGGCACTTGCCCAATTCTTGCTCAAAGACCTTTGCCAGGGTGACTGTTGTGTCCCACTTACCCCTCTTACTCTCAGGTCACAGACTCATTCTCTAAAGCTAATAAATGTGAAAAGCAAAAATGCTTTTGGCTTCTGTCACCAGGGAATTGGCCAAAGCATCTTTCTGCAGAGGTTTGCTGCTCATCAGATAAGCCCAATTAGGGATGGTGCTGGACAGCCATTTTGCAGCCTGGGAACTGCCCCACTTTTTCCTGCTTTGTGGTGTTAGGCAGTCTTGGCTTTCACATACATAAGTCTCTTCTTTTAATAGAAAGCAGAAAATTATAAAAATTGCCCTAGTGGCTTTCCCACATTCACAAATTTTGGCCACTGCAAGAATACTCCCCCCAGTTCTTTATTCAGTCTGATCAAAAGCATTGATCAGCTTGTCCATACAACTCTGCCAGGTCAGTGGATATTCCCTTTAACTCCATTCTTACTCTGCTGCTAACACTAGTTCTCTTTTTCACTCTAAAGCACCATTGCCAGAATCAGCTACGCCAGCCCTCCCCTGGCCACAGCTGCTACGCTTGTGCTTCCTCCTTCCCTGTGCACGTGCAACTTTCCATGGTGAAAGTTATCTTTGCTACAGCTAATGCAGATACCAGAAAACAGAGCCATTTATTTGGTGGCAGATTGAATCACCATCATGGATCAATAAAATAAAAGGATTGCAATGCTTATCAGAAAAACTTTATCAAAGACAGCTGAGTAGATGCACATTAATCAATCTGCTTACAAAACCTGAAGTGCAGTTTGGACAACTTCTCACATGTAAGCAGTGGTCACACAAGTAAGCCAAAATAAAAAAAGTTCATCCTTACCTCAAATTAAGATACAATACCTGTATCTAGTATCAAAGCCTTTTAACAGAAATACACTTAATGCTGTTGTATAAACATGTGCTTGGTAAAGCAACTGACCTCAAGTGAAGAGAGATTTAATTTCTAAAGAAGAGTGCTAATCTGATTGAAGAGAGACAATAATGTATTGAAAACAAAGGCAACCAAACCATGTGAGCCTCTGAAATATATCTCAACCCAAACCATATTTCAGATATCTGGAGAACAGCATTAAGCCATTTATTTTGTAGCCCTTCCAAAAACTAAAGCCCAACCTTCAGTAACTCCTTCACTGACTGTAACACAGTCTGTTCCATTTATTCTGTAATTTTGATCAGTTGCACAGCATAGCCTTGAGAGCAAACACCCAGCTGGCAAAGCATACCTTCTATTTGACTTGGTTCAGGTCATCTTTGTCCCTGCATCTTCGTCCCTGTGGTGGCTGTACATGCTGTAGGATACTGTTCTTTGGAAATCTTCTGAAGAAAAACACCTGGAAATTATTTTTGCAAGAAAAGTCTTCCCCCTCCCATTTCCCAGTCTAACAGAAGTATCTTGTCAACTTGTCCATGAATTTCATGGATGGCTCAATGGGCTAATACATGTATTTTTAAAAGTCCCTTTTCTGTTAGAGTGGATACTAAGTGCTAAGTTTCATTTTACTCCTCTTGCTTTGTTTTCTGGCTTTCCATTTCTATTTGATTTACCTAATTCAGATACACAGAGATGTAACTAGGTCATACTTTAAAAAATGTACCAAGTATAAACAACCATTTAACTTCCTTTTATTTGTTGCAGATCTGTGACAGGCTTTTAAACTGCTTGCTTCAATGAGATCTTTAAATTGCTGTCTACTTTCTAAGTAGACAGCAGTTCTGGTAATTCCAGGTAATTCTGCACGTGGTCTTACATAAATGCACAGATTCCATATAGTTTTTTTGTACAACTTTTTCACAGCAATTTAGTTTCATTTTTTAAATATACTCCACCTAATCCAGTCCTTAGGCATTTTAGTGGTATCGAAAAGCGATTTGATACTTTTATTCCTCAATACAAAACCTAAAGTCTTATCAATATCTACAAAGACACAAATATTAATGTTCTCAGCAGCCTTTATAAACTATGCTTGGTCTAAAATAAAAGAAAAATCTGGATATTTTATAAAAATTTCACAATTAGCCCTTTTCATACATTTCCATCACATGAGACTGGAAGGTCATATAATACATGCAATTTCATAGTCCCTGGTAAGATCTGAGTATCCAGTATCACCAAAGTTTAAATGCAGCTCAGCTGAATTTTGTATAAATGTTATTTATGTCTCATTTTTAGGTTTACCTACAGAAGTACCTTCATGAACAGAAATCACATTCTTATCCTTATATTTTCAATTCATCCTTTTGGGGCTGCATAAATAAAATATTGCTGTCTTAGCTTACAGAAGCTTACCACTAGTTTTGAAGAAAAAGTGCCTCATACAGGCAACACCCTGGACCCCCTGTTCCAGGACCTGTGGCATAGGCATATCCAGCAGAGTGACCAATGACAACAGAAAATGTGAAATGAAAAAAGAAAAGAGATTATGCTTCATCCAGCCTTGTCTGACCAATATGCTGAAGAAAATAAAGGTATTTTCTAGTATAAAATTAGTTCCTAATAGAAAATTAAAATATTGGAACTAATGGAAAAATGGATACATTAGCAAATACTAATGAAACATTTACTTCTTACTTTTTTATGGGTTTTAAAACAACTTCTCTGTTTTCTACCATTAATGTTCATATTTCAATAGCAAACTACAGATGTGCAATTTCAAACAAAAGAATGTAATGTCCTGAAATATAAGTGCTGCTAATGCTGTCCTGATGTACAGTCATTCTGAAAATATCTCGTTTGTTGACTGACAAAGGAAAAAAAATCAGGCAGCTTTCAGACTGAGTAACTTTCAAGATATTTCTAAGTAATGTTTTTCTTACACGATCTGCTATTAATGTTCAGGGTTTTCTTTGTTTTAATTTTAAAAGATTCCAAAGGGAAAAATATGTCAACCAACTTTCCAGCTTCCAACAGCAGAGAAGCTAGCTTTTTCGGGATGCTCAACTACTCAAAGATACAAACTAACTTTCTGTGGAGTGTGCTTGGACAAGAGGTGCTGCATTCCTAATAAGTCCAAAATGATTACTGTACAGTTTGAGTGTCCCAATGAAGGCTTCTTCAGGTGGAAGATGATGTGGATAACATCGTGTGTGTGTCAGAGGATTTGCAGTGCTCCAGGAGATACATTTTCCCAACTCAAACTCCTATGATAAATTACACCATGGACTATAACATACGGCATGCAACAGCACAGTCACAGCCTGAAGAGTCAGCATAACCTGCTAGCACAGCAGTCTTATAATTAAACTACACACATGAATAGTCACCCATTTATTAAATAGCACCTGCAAAGCGCCAGAGAGCATCTTTTAAAATGTAACTGTTTTTACATGGAGAGATACATTCTGGAGAAGGATGCATCTAACACCAGCAGTGCTCAAACAAGAACTCTTGCAAGAGAGCTTCATGCCCCATTGTAACAAGTTTTTGCCCACAAATACAAATAGATGCTCCAACCTAATAGAAAAAAAATTGCTCTGTAATATTTCAACTATCATTCTTCATTCTTAAATTAACCTTTTATGCTATATATCTGAAATAATAAAACACATCAATGCTATTTTGAAACAGAAGTTGTCAACTTTAAAGTCAGACTGCTTTTTGCAACAGATGGTCTTTCTCTAGTGTTATGGATATAAACACCAGATGTGCAAAGGAACAAATAAATGGGCAACTGCAGATAATAGATGGAAGATGTAAGAAAACTGCTATTTTTAGAACACTTTCTTAAAAAATGCTCTCAACAAATGTTACTGCAATACTTTATTGAATACTTCTGGGATTATACATTCAAAATTACGCTTACTTACATATCTACTCCAGCTGTGCTAGAAGAAATTTCAAGAAATCATTGTATCAATCCATTCTGATCTGTAACAGTTCACTGGGAAGCAACTGGAAATAGCTGTACATTCTATTTGTAAAAGTTCTTACTGTAATATAAAAAGCTGCTTACCCTGATAATTATAAATATTAAAACATCTATTTTACTTGCATTCTTTTGAAGCTGTACGCATTTTTCTCCAAATGGTCATTATAACTTCACGTGCAGGTTTTGCTCAGAGGTATTCTGTATTATTTCATTATCGAGTGCAACTCAGCATTCATGATCATTAAAATATTCATTAATATTCCAAGCACAACACTTGAAACAATTTTTTAAAAATTTTCTGTTATTGCTAATTTTAGTATTAACTGAGAATCCTCTAAAATAGTTAAATACAAAATAGGAACAGAAATATAAAAATGAGGAACATAGCTTAGTGCATTCTGAAATGTCTACTGCAAAGTGTAAGAAACCAGTTTCATTAGAGACTTGCTTTCATCTTTGAAAAGACTACATGGGATTTTCTTCTCTTAGTAGTCGCTTGTTAAAAACTAAATCTAGCAGCAGTGATCCTTCTTTGAAGCAAGACCAACCTTAAGTTTACTGTAAGCTGAGAGTCTGAGAAATTAATTACATTTTTGGCTGCTACAGACAACCTCTCCTCCTTTTCTTCACAGCATATGGTGTGGCAATTTACTCCACAGTTAGGATTACTGTCCTTACTGATAGCAGCCACAATTAGGTGTCTTCAAATCTTTCTTACAGGCATAGTTCACCACTTAATGACAACTGTTGAGGTAAGGAAGCTGTTGCGTTGGTCCCACTTTGGAATTACAATAACCAGACATGCTGCAAATCATTCTGGTTAACTGAAGTGGCTGAATGTTTAGGGAAAGTGCTTTTTGTTGTTGTTTTTAAAATTAGCTCTTCCTTCTTTAAACAGCTATCTTCAGTCTTGAAGGATCTATTCTAGGTCCACCTCTTGTAGCATCCAATTCATTGTACTCTTCTATTAGGTCAGACAAAGAGGATATAGCTTCCAAAAAACAGCTTTGCTCCATCCCATCTATTTGCAGATAATGGTGAAGGTGAGCCTAAGAGAATAAAAAAAAAAAATTCAGTGTTATCCTTTTCTTGGTATTTGATTACTTTGGCTCAGTATATACCAGTTGGCTTGTACTGAAGTGGGGAGTGCAAGCATTGTGGAAACGGCACTTAGAGACTTATATCATGACATTCCTTGTTGAAACACTTGGTAACAATCCCCAAGTGAATCACAGTTGATATTACTGACTTCTTAAAACCCCACCTTTTCATATTGTGTTCTTGGGTACACCAGACCAGCTGTGGATTTTGGCAGGGTTTTAGCAGCAGGGAGAATCCAGGGCTGCAGGGATGGCTGTCCTCATGCTGAACAGAACAATCCCAGCCAGCTCCAGTACGGACCTGCTACTGGCCACAGCTGAGCCCATTAGTGATGCTGGTAATGCTTCTATGACAGTGTATTTATAGAGAGGTAAAAATGCTGCACAACACAGCTGTGACAGAGAAGATGCAAGGAAATGTGAGAGAAACAGCCCTGCAGACACTAAGATCAGTGAAGAAGGAACAAAAGTGGAATTCTGAGGCTAGGAAGAACGCAGTGAAATGGGGGTGAAGGTGTTTTCAGCTTTGTTTTTATTTCTTGCCATCCTACTCTACTATTATTGGCAATAAATTAAATGAATTTTCCAAATGCCAAGTCTGTTTAGCCCGTGACAATAACTGGTGGTTGTTCTCCCTGTCTTTATCTTGACCCAAAAGTTTTTCATGGTACTTTTCTCCTGTCCTGCTGAGGAAGTGAAGTGAGAGAAAGCTTGGTGGACTCCAAGGTTTAGATTAGGTATTAGGAAGACATTCTTTACTGTGCACTGGAACAGGTTGCCCAGTGAACCTGTGGATGCTCCATCCCTGCAAATGTTCTTGGCCAGGTTGGATGGGGCTTTGAGTCACCAGGTCACACAAATAAAACCCTTGGGCTGTTAAACAGTCCCTTCATGACACTAAGATCTGGGTTTCAATAATGCAAGATGCTAATGATTAGTGACTATGGATGTTATAATGATAAGAGTTGCACCTTTTTCTTGTAGAGCTTCATAAATCTGTCTTTGAGTTCAATGAAAGTTGGTTTTACACAGGTGTTGTTTGCTAAAGCCAGAAGGGAATGGGAATGGCCCACAGGAGGTACTGAACACAAACCAGTTTTCCAGCCCTCTTGGTTCCAGGAGACAAAGTGCAGAGAAGGCTTCAACCTGTGATAAAAAAATTTAGTTAACTAAGGAATATAAAGAACACAAAGGCTAACTACTAACAGTTTCAAATAAGAGTCTGCAAATGTCAACATTTAAGCACTCAGGATTAAGGAGAACAGTTATAACTGTCACTGTGAATAAGATATTTTAGATTTCAGACTAAATCACTGTGTTTCTATGTTAAATTTAAATTGCAAACATCAATTGTGTTTTGTTAATTTAATGCATCAGGATTTGAAAAGTGAAGTTACAAGTACCTGTTTCTATAAAAGGGACTGGAAGCACTCTGAGATTTAGTAAAGGGGTAGATCAATACTGTGTGAGGGCAATCAGTCTACCTGTAGTTTTGCAATAAGTAAAATACTTTAGATCCCCAGAAATTTTCCCCATGCACCCCTTTCTGCCTATACATTCCATTTTGCCTGCCTCTCCTGTTACATCTATGTAGCTCAATACTGTTCAAGGTAGAAAATAGGTGCTAACAACACAGAGTTGTTAAAATAAAGATGATTTCCTACCTATAAGAAAATAACCATGGAAAGAGAAGGGTCTTCTGTTCAGCAAAATGGAACTTCGACTACAGAACTCATTACTCCAACATCCTTTGCTGTTGGAAGACCACTGGAAAGCTAGGCTTTGCTTTTTTTGCAATTTGGAGATGGAGAGGAGTAGCATTTCCCTTTATTTGGAAATCCAAGAATAATATGACTTACTTTCACTCATCACACCAATTAATTATGCTTTCTTCCCTTCTAAAATTAAGAAAAGGAGGCTGGAGTAAACTGATTTGGTATTGAAACTATTCAAATGAGAAGCTGGAAAGCTCTGGACAACATGTCAGTTTCTGTACAAATCCCATGACTACTTTGTGTACCACACCATACTGTGTGGCATTACAAACCTTTCAATATTTCTGCGAAGGTCTGAAACCTGCACATTTCCTCGAACAAGAAGCGCACAGGCCAGGTAGAGGCTGTGCTTTGGATCTGCTTGAATTAGTTGATGATCTCTGCTAAATGCGTCTGAGAACATCTGATCCAACCTGAGTGAAAAGAAAACAGTTATCTATTCTTACTTATAGGATACAAAAGTTCTTTAGACTACCCACCTTCAGGGTTTAAAAGTTCATTAAATTCTGGATGAAGGTACATTTAATCCAGGACCATAAATGATAGGTAGATATGTTGGCATTAGAAGTTTTTAAAAACACACTGGATCCATTTTTTTCTCACCCACAAGTTACAAGCCACTGTTGAATCAGAGAAGTTGCCTTTATAAAGGCAATTTGATACAGGTGATTACAAAGTCTTAAAATTATGCAAAAGAATTTAACTACTTGGGGTTCTGGTTATGTGGCAGTTTGAATAGACAATCTCGCTGGGAAGGATCTGACAAGGAACGTCAAAGTGCTGACCCTTACAGACCGGATTATTTCCCTGTTACACTTCATTATTTTAAAGGATCAATGAGTCAGAGAACTGTATTAATTTTGATTAATGATTTGGGAAAAGACAGGCTATACATACTTGTCTAGTCTTCTAATTTTATCACACATGTCTGCTTTAAAAGATGACACTGCAGATCATAGTCTTCCTCTCTTCACTTCCTTAACCAAATTTCAGTGTACTGTGGGATATCAAAGATGGTATTCTGTGGACCCACAACATCTAAGATATTCTTTCCATTTGTTCCAAATACTGTACATTTATAATCTCTATTTGTATTTTGTTATATCACCTCTGCCACAATCTGCCTATTACAACAAAATAAAGGAGACAAAAATGTTACTCTTCCTACTTCATTCTGAAACATCTTTGACTGACCATCTCCTCACAGTCTGCTACCTCCCCCCAAGCCCTGTACTGTATCCTCAAGGTATGTTCTCAACAGATATGACTGTCACAACTTGCTATTGGAAAATAAGTGTGGTCCTGCCCTCTCCTCCACTTTGCATACTTCCATCACTTACTCTCAGCCATCTCTACCACTATTTGTCTCTATCTCACTCTTGCTGACTCAATATAATCCACCA